TGCTCTGACTTAATCAAAGAGGGAGAGGCAAGTCAACTAGTCTCACAGTTTGTCCGACTGACTTGGACTGACTGGCCTCCTCCCAGGACCGTAATTTCCCTACTGGCTGAAGCGTTGCCATTTTATTCTTCTGTTTCAGTCTGTTGCCACCAGCCAGTCATCCTCCTCAGCGCAGACCACCACCTATCCCCACATCTCATTAAATAACCTAAACCTATTTGTAAATTTTATATATTATCCGTGGTTTAATTAAACGCAGCACACTTTGGAGCCTAAGGCTTCAATGGAGAGCAAATGGCTTTCTTCAAATCTAGAGAAAGGATTGTTTTTCATTATTCATGTGTTAAACCCTAGTATTACCTGGCTACTAAGTGTTAAGGCTCATGTTTTCCCAAACACTTTATCTAATCAGGACAGTTATTCTGTCCAGTTAGAAAGTAATGGTCTTCATTTCGCACGTAACAAAGAATTGGAAATGAAACGAGTGCATAATTCTTAACAGAGAGATCTGTCAGTGTTGTATTGTATTTTATTAGATTTCGATTGTTTAGATATACATAACAAACAGTTATTTAGAGTCTTTATTCTGCTATGTGTTCGCATGAAAGAATCTGGGAGAGAATATAATGACCTGAGAAACTAAAGGCCAATATTCAGACAGATAGACCAGGACGGTTTCCAACAGGACTTATTAATAAAAACAACAGAATTACAGAGAGCGGCTGGGCGTCAGCGGGGCAGATTCTCTGCAGATAAAGGAACCTACCTTCCAGAACCCAGAGTGATGATGAGCTGACGCCAGCCGATGCTGAGGGAGCAACAGTGTCTGTGAGGAGAATCCAAGCCGAGGTCAGTGAAATAGTCCAGGATCGGTAACCAGCAAAAACAGTAAAAAGCCAAAAAGAGACAGAACAGAACAGGGGCGAGGCAAAAACTGGAATATCCAAAGCAGAAAACAGGTCAGAATCACAGAGAAATTCACTTGATCGCAAGAGTTACTCTCAGAACAGCTTGAATATTCTGGCGCTGATGGAAGGCAGGCAAACAACATCAATAGCTGAAGAACAGGTGGAAACGATCGGCGTAAATCAGCCGCCTGGCCAATGGGACAGGTGAGCAGGAGCAAACAAAAAGAAAACCATCAGCGTCAAGACCATGAAATGACCAGTCAAGGACCATCTTAGGGCCAGCCAAGGACCTGATGTCTTCCTTTCCTATAGAAAATTCTTCATAGAATAGTTTCTTATCCAGAGTGCGTAGAGATTTACTCAGATTTTAGGGGTCATCATAGTGCTAAACAGCACTAGCAGAAGACACCGATGATATTCTAATAGCCTCAGACAATAGACTGGTGTTGGGACTTATCTTGTTAGTTCTCAGCGCTCTATTTTTGTCATGACGTCTTTAAGAGATCTGACCGACATGCAGAAAACCACTCAGAGAAACCAGAGTAAAAGTATAACAGGTTTATGGAGGAGTTCAAATGGGTTGGATTCAGGCGAACTCCGAGAGCTGGTGAACCAGAACTGGAAGTGAGAAGGGAAGTTCACAGAGGTTAGTTCAGGGTCCGTGGGAGCTTTGAACGACTTCTTGCAAAAACAGAGATACACGGGACTCACGTTTGCGGAGTAAAGTTTCTTCCCAGAATCCAGTCGGTGTGCGTTTATCCAGAGATAGAGGGGCTTGTTGGAGGGCAGACAGGTTTTGGTTTGGTTGGTTCCTGAGGAGCAATGGAGCGGACTGCCACTTAGATTTCCAGGAGAACTTAAAAGGGGACGTGTGGAGATTAATCCCCTGCTCAGTGTCAAGCTCAAACAATCCTTCCAGGGGAAGAAGGCCAAACATCCAGTATGCAGGATGACTTCCTGCCGAAAGGCAAAAGACAATAATCCCGTTAGACTCAGAGAAACAAAGACTCAGTTAGACTCAGCTAAACTCAGCTTGGCTAGAGTACCCAAAACTGGTAAACACTCTGCCGTCGAAGTAGTGACAGTTCGCCACTCAAATACTCCTCGGTAATGAGCCAACCAGCCGCAGGTGTGCAGGAGGACCAACGAGGAAAGGGCACCACCTGGTGGTGGAGGGAGAGAAAAACACCCAAAACACAACCCACACAGACTGGATTCCTAACAATTTTATAAAGCTGATCATAATATTGTTCTAGAAAGACTGTGATATGCTGTAGGAATTAAAGGAATAGCATTAGACTGTTAAAACCATATTTTTCTTAAAGAAATTAGTTTTGTTCACGTTAATGATAAACCTTCCTCATGCTCCAGGGTTAACTTTGGAGTACCACAGGGATCAGTGTTGGGACCAATTCTCTCTACTATAAATATCCATCTAATGGCGCTCTCACAATACAAAATCTGCTAAAATTTAGCCTTCTTTTGCTCATCGTGAAATTTGTCTGGCCAGCGATAGCAGCTCTAATGGCAGGTGAATTTTCCCAGCAGGTGAAAGGCTCTACTACGTTATCAAGTCTTTCTGTTGTTGGTTTTATTTCAACATTTCTTTTTAATGCTTTTTTGTACTATATACTCTGTTTTTATATTGTAAGTCTAGGTCTAAGTCTGGTGGACTGGGCTTTTAATGGGACTCGCATTGCTTTTTTAACCTTTCAAGGCCGAATAAAGCCGTTGGCATCCCTGGGTTTCCCAGGAGCTACATCTACATTGAAATGTCTTTAAATTCACATTAAGATGAATCCAACAGACTGAAGTAAACAGACAATGGAGGCAGAAGATGTCTTTCAGTCATCAATGCTCACATTCAGAGACACACAGGAGCTCTTTCAAGCTGGACACCGTTTCATTCACAACACCTGTCCCATCAACCAGGAATCAGAAATACTTTAATAATCCCAGGGAGGGATTACTTTAGTTTCATTACTCCATCTGTAATAGAGTGACTATAGCACCAGTTTGATAGAACATTATTTCATACATTATATGTATTTAGGAGGTCCCCGCTCCATCTCGCCATCAGTTTGAGGTCCTTGGCCTTGAAAACGTTGAAGAGCCCTGCTCTAGAAGGTAACTGCTGGAGATGGAAGGAGGATAGCGGTAGATCAGAGAGTGTCTACGCTGGAGGTAGGATAACGAAACAGTCTAAATTAAATTACGCTAAATTAAAATCGCATTTTTAAAAGCCACCCAAAAACCTTTTAGGAGCATTCCCCACTTTATACTTTGTCAGCGTTATTTTTTCTGTCTTCCAGTTTGATTAGAAAAAGTTTGCCTCCTTCACTGAAGGTCATAGCTACGGTACTACTAGTCCCTGATTAATTTTTGTGGTGCAACAAAAGTTAAGCTTCTTTGCAGGCGAGGAAGCAATCTAATATCCCTGAATTCATTAAAAAGGCTCCATTCACCTAGCTCAGGGGTCGGCAACCCAAACTGCTCAAAGATCCATACTGGACCAAAAAAAAACAAAAAATAAATCTGTCTGGAGCCGCAAAAATGGAAAAGTCTTATATATGCCTCGTATAGCAACACGGGCTCTAAGTGTATTAGACCACTATAGAAAAGGACTATGTGGGCTTAAATATATAATAAGCGTTCATGATTAAATGTTTATCCTGGAGCAAATGTCACATAGCAGCCTGAGGTGAGGGAGGAGCAGTGAACGCTCTCACCACGCGCTGCTTCACCGCATGGTTTAGGTTTTGTTGCATTGATGAATTGATAGAAACAGGATAAAGGAATCTTTCTATGGTGGACGTGTTTCTATTGGGAGGAGCTGATTGAGTCATGAGGAACCAAGCTGGAACTGACATCCATCAGAGCAGAGCTCTCTAACCCTGGAATCCCACATCCTCCGTCAGAGCGCTCCTTGGTGTGATTTAGTTCAAATACCTGGATCAATGCACGACCTACGGAAGAGGATTAGGGCCACTGAAAAAAAAAAATGTTAACAGATTTTTTTTAAATTTTATTTCAGTATAGTATGGGAAAAAATTCAGAATTCTGAGATTAAAGTCAGAATTCTGACTTTTTTCTCAGAATTCTGACTTTAATCTCAGAGTTCTGACTTTTTTTTCAGAATTCTGACTTTAATATCAGAATTCTGACTGAATTCTGACAATAAAAAAGTCAAAATTCTGAGACAAAAGTCAGAATTCTGAGAAAAAAGTCAGAATTCTGACTTTTTCCCCATGTTAAACTGAAATAAAATTTAAAAATCAGTTAACTTTTTTTTTTTTCAGTGGCCCTAATCCTCTTCCGTAACTACCAGTTGGATCTGTGAACAGTTTTCCATCCTTGCAACCAAGGGTGTAACGAATAGTAATGAAAGTTGGTGGGGATACTATAAGGCAAAGGTCACGGATTAGTGGACCGTGGTCCGGATCCTGATCTGCCTGCTGGCTAATTCAGACCCAACCTGATGTAAAACATTTATAAATTAACACATCTTGTCTGACCAAAGTGTCTAAACGTCACTTGCGCTGCTTCTCCTGTTACAGTTTTTTTGGAGTGCTTACACACTAAAGTTAAAAGTAGTACACTATTAGCAAAACCTTACACCCAAGAAGCAAAACATCAGCCCTTATTTGCACAACTATAAGCACATTGTCAACCTCACACTTGTTGCAAAACTCTACACACAGTGATTTGCAAAACACTAAACACACTTAACATACATTACACACAAAAATCTATTATGAAGTCACTTCCTTGCAATACCAAAGCACTGACTGTCAAATTACTGCACCTTCCAACCAATTGATTCAACACAGTCACCAGGTGTGCAAACACTTGTTTGCTTAATTGTAGACACACCAATCAGGTGTATAAGCACTATAAAAAGCAGCAGGTGAGTTCATCGGTCTTCAAGCACAATAGAAAGAGTCAGAGAAATAGTAAGACGAGGTGGAGGACGAGGTGGAGGAGAAGGAGGAGGACAAGGACAAGAAGGAAGAGGAGGAAGGGGAGGAAGGGGAGGAAGGGGAGGAAGAGGAATCAACAGAGGAGGAATCAACGGAAGAGGAAGAGATGGAGGCCATGCTGGAGGTAGAGGTAGAGGAAGAGGAAGACAAGAACGTGCTCAAAGAGGACCGAATCTGACAAATGAGATCCGCGCAACACTGGTTGACCACGTTGTCAACCACGGCCTGACGATGAGGGAGGCTGGACTGAGAGTACAGCCAAATCTAAGCCGATACACAGTGGCAAGTGTGATAAGAACATTTCGACTGGAAAATAGGTATTGTAAAAATATCATTATATCAAAAACATCTGCACGGTTTCAGCAACTGCTTACAGTACTGTATTCTATGCACTATCAGCACTTCTGTTACCTTTTCCTGTGAAATTACTGTACTATTGTTTACTGTTTTTTTTCTACATAGGATTGAGGGTCAGGAACGACGAGGGGGAAGGCCTCCTATGTTCACAGAACAGCAAGAGAGGGAGATAGTAAACATGGTTTTGGCCAACAATGCTATAACCCTCAAACTGCTCCAAGCTAACATTGTCAATAACCACGTCGGTTTCAGCAATATCCATCAGGTCTCAACATCAACACTGGCACGCATCCTAACAAAAAACCATATTCAAATGAAGAAAATTTATCGAGTGCCTTTCGAGCGCAAATCCGAAAGGGTGAAACGACTGCGGCATGATTTTGCAGAGGTATGTATTCACCTAAGCATTGTGATCTTGCATACTGTCTCATAATCTTTTACTGTACTGTGATATGTATAATAGATCTACACTGAAGACAATTTTGCCTGACACTGTTCTTCAGAGAGTTTTACAAATGGATGGAGAGGAGATCCAGCATGAGTTTATCTACGTAGATGAGGCTGGGTTCAACCTGATGAAAACACGAAGGAGGGGAAGAAACATCATTGGCCACAGAGCTATAGTCAATGTCCCGGGGCAACGTGGGGGTAATATAACACTCTGTGCAGCCATTACACAGAATGGGGTCCTCCACCGCCATGCCCATATGGGCCCTTACAACACAGCACTCATACTTACATTCTTGGACCAATTGCACAACATAAAAGCAGCAAATCAAATCGATCATATGCAATACATTGTTGTCTGGGACAATGTGTCTTTCCACCGCTCTGCTCTGGTTCAGAAATGGTTTCAGCAACATCCACATTTCACCGTCCTATATCTTCCACCATACTCTCCATTTCTCAACCCTATAGAAGAGTTTTTCTCGGCATGGCGGTGGAAGGTATATGATCTCCGTCTCCAGGCTGAGGTACCCCTCATCCAGGCCATGGAGGAGGCCTGTGACCAGATGGAGGTAGCAGCAATGCAAGGATGGATTCGTCATTCAAGACGTTTCTTTCCAAGGTGTCTTGCTAATGACAACATTGCCTGCGATGTTGATGAAATTCTCTGGCCAGATCCAGCTAGGCGAAGAGACAATGTCTAGTTTTTGTTTTGTTTTTACAGTAAACTTACAGTACAATACGTAAAGTGACATTTTGTTACAGTATTATGAATCTCCATGTCAACATTTTGGGCGTGTTGAGAAATAAATGAGTTTCTTCAGTCTGCAACATTGGTCTTGTGTAGTGTTTGGTGAATTTACATTATATTTGTACTTTGTTGATGGTAGCCAACTCTAATCATAGGGAAGTAGAAGTGCTAAAAGTGTTTTAGGTTTATCACAGCAGAGTGTAACTCGTGCAAACAGAGTATAGTAATGTGAAACGTGTGTTTCATATGGTAACAAAGTTTGGTTTTTAAACAGAAGTGTATAGTTTTTACAAGAGTGTTTAATTATGCAAAGGATCTGTAGTGTTTTGCTAATTGGGTGTGTGGTTGTGCTAATTGTGTGTAGTGTTTTGAAAACACGGGCCCTGTTTTGAAAATCGTGCTTAAGCAATCCAAAAAAACTGTAATACGGTAAATCCCACATCCGCTCCGCCCCACAGCGCTCCAGACCTCCTGCAAAGCAAAGCCTTGAGATGACATGATGTTAATTGACGATATAGAAATAAAACGAACTGAATTGAACTCCTACCTCCCAGTAGGCTCAGTAGGTCATTATCACCCAATGAATTCTAATCCTAACCCAAACGTAATTCCTTTTTTAAGGAAGAAGTTTATTGGCATGTTGCTCATATGCAACAAGCCCTCCCCAAAAAATATCAAATCCTGTCAAGAGTTGTTTTTAAACACATTAAATCATTAAAAATGACTGAAACATGTGATTCCACACGTAAAGCTTTAAATACTGATTTCTTTAAAGAAGGTCGGCTGTAAATAAAGTAGATAAAAAGTAAGAACGGCCGTAAGGTACGTAGCATAAGGTAGAGGAGGAAGAACCTGGAGCCATCCTTTGGGACCGATAACCGCTAATAACTTAACCACCTAATGGTTGACCCCACGCCAAACAGGAGCTCCAGAAATCATCGGACCAGATTCACTATTCCATTTTTTATTATAATTGTATCTGTAGACTTCGTCTGTCTTTGTCAGAGTTTTTTCTGCATGTGGGTCAGAAGCTACAACAAAACAATGATTTGTGTGTGAAACTATGCTTTGCAAACTATCTGCTTGTTAGGAAATCCTTTAATCCAACAAGGAGCAACTATTGTGATTTCTAAAAGAAAACGTTCCTCAGTGGTAAAGCTTATTCATGCGTGTTTGCAGCTTCTGAGTGCTAGAACTACCCATGGCTGCTCTTTAGGTGTCCTTAATTAAAGTCCAATCACCAAAGATAACCTCTTTGGTTCCTTTGAAGCTTAACTATATGGTCCATTTACAAGCATATGCTAAAGCACATCCCATGTGATTTAATGCGTTTATTAGGACTGACTCGTAATCACGACTCCATTTAGAATGCTGTATTTGGTATGGAACATATTAAATGTCCCAATCAATCCTTCTAGCAAAAATTATATTAGTTCATTAGGAAGTGCAGCCACATTAACATACTGATTACAATAAAATAAATGCTTGGTTTGAAAATTAGTAATGAGGGCAATTATAATAAAATGTATGTATTCTCACTCAGGACCATTCATTCATGAGAGGTTTTTCACACGTCTATTGATGCTGCACTGAGACCATTTTGATGCTTTTTCCTGAATCCTTTTTAGTTATTACAGGATTATTTTATTTATTTGTTGTTCTGAATAGTTATGAATTGCCCCTGCTGTGGTTCAGTAAATGCCTTCATATTTCAGAACAAACTGCCATCGTTTGATCCCTGTCTACTGTTGATTCACCGTTGGCTGGCCCACAGTGGCTACTACAGTATAGGTCAGGAGTCTTATGCTACGTTCACACCAAAAGCAGCAAAGACAGCAGACGCAGCTAGTTTACATGCAAAGTCAATGGTTCACCTGCATGAAGGCGCAGCGAAAAGATGCCGCAGCGCATTATGAGCAGCAGGAGCATCGTGAGCATTAGCATTTAGCTGCTGGACGTGCCTCATCAACCAATGAGAGAAGCTGATCTGGGAGCTGGCAGGGAGTCAGACGCAGCACTGCTGATGCAGAGCACTATGATCACTCCTCTAAAACAGTTTATTAACGCCTAAATTAACTTCAAATGTAGAAACCTGCCGGCAGAATATGTTGGCTTTTATTATCCTGCTACCTGCAGTTTGGATTACGGAAATTAAAGTCTCCTTCCAGCTGCCGCGGCCAACCGCAATGAGACGATCGGGCCAGAGGCTCCTGTTGAATGGGATTCCCAGTGACAGCGCCGGTATGTGGGGGTCTGAGCGGCTCCCACACAGAAATAATCTTTGAAGGCAGGATGGTAATCTGGATGAACTGACTGCACAGACCATGTTTTCAGGAGGACTTTCTCATTTCAACATAGATTCTAACTACTTTCTACCCGCTGATCACAGCTAATATAGTTGCCATTGTTCCAGGCAGAGAAAGGTTAGGGTAGCTCCGCCCACTGCGCATCAGACCCACTTTTCCACCGCGCAGCTGGAGCAGCAAATATGCTTCAGCCGCGCGTCAGAACTAAACTTGAACAAGCATCAAAAAACGTGTGTTTCTGCTGCTCTTGCTGCTTTTGGTGTGAACGTGACATTAAATTCCAGTCGTTAAGCTGCAGGATCCTGGACCGTAGTTAAGTCAGGTGGTTATTAGCAGGACTGGAGTGGAACTTGACTGCATGCTGTTGATCAGCTGAGCTAGACAACAAATGCATCTAAAGCCCGTGTCATACCTTGATGATTTAGGCCAGCGTATGCCTGACAAACGAAAAATCTGGCAAAATGCTGGAATATTGTTTGGATATTTTGGACATTTTTAGCATCCTCCAAATTTCCCGCCATACTGGTTGTATGCCAGTCCAGCTGATCCTAAACCACTGAGTAACTTCTGCCTAACTTATCCAGAACTTCTCTCCAATGCATATCAAGGTATCTGCCGTGTTCCAGACGAGCGCTGAACGTGTTTCTAATTTCCAGCTACTGTATAATGGCGTATTGGCAGCGTTTTGGTATAAAGGGGGTTCACAGGAGGAAACCGTCAGTTCTCCTCCAGACTTCATCCCCATCATAGGGTGAGCCAGAAGGTGAGTGATGGATCCTCCCTGCGTTCACGCCCACCACCAACACACTTCCTAGAAGACATCAATCTGCTGACACCAGAAACCTGCTTTCTTTTTCTTCTTTATTCTTTTATTACTTTTGTTGGGCGGTAAACAGCAGCTAGGTTAATACCGCGATCAAATAAATCTTTTTCTGCAGACCAGGTGCCGCCGGGTGCATCGCTGCCCCCCTCAGGCCGTGCGTTATGCAGAAGTTAGGCTGTCGTTGGACAGAAGTTCGTTAGGAATACTCTATGTATACGGCCAAAATAGGAAAATATACATAGAAAGTTCGGCGTATGGCAGCAATTTAGGAGATTCTGGGAAGTCAGGCAGACGCTGGAAAATTCAGCAAGGTGGGACAGGAGGCCTAAAGCAGTGATCTCAACCTCAAATCTTCAAGGGCAGGTCTGAACTCCAGACTTAAACACACCTGAGTTCAATATGAGCTCATTATCAGAGCTAGACTGCTGATAGTGAGGCAGTTAAGGTATTCCATTGAGGCGTTTAGGACACAGGTTACATCCCCTGATCTAAAGAGTGCAGGACACCAGGACTGGAACTGAAGACGCCTGCTGTAGAGTTCTGAACATTATTAATCATCTTTGAGGTACTGATCTGAAGTAAAACCATAAGATCTGTATGCAGGTTGTGTCTGAGTTGCTCTTCCTCTGTCTTACAAAAGTAAAATATTCTGTCTCCCTGGCTATTCATCTTTGACTTCATCATCATCAACAGCTATCATGGGTCTTAAACCAGACTATGTTATAATAATTGTACACCAAATACTGTCTAAAGACTGATAAATACTGCGCAGCATGAATCTCTTTATTAATTACACCACTTGTTTGGTCTGCTAGCATAGCCGTTAGCACAGCCATGATGGGCCGCCCTCTTTCGCAGCGGTATCGGCTGTTGATCAAGTCCCAGTGCTGTATCTGGTGTTTGTCACAACGCGCTATTATCCAAGTCATCTTGAAAACATTCTTCTTCCAAATGTTGGCTACATATTACGGATTTTTTCTCTGGCCAGAAGTTCGATGGCAAATCCTCCCTCTTCAAGTTGGCGATCCAACGACCAACCCGTCCGTGGAGGATCAGGAATCAGAAAGGTGGAATAACTCTTTTTTTCACTTTTACCCGATGTATTCCAGCATCCAGCTGCCATGCACGTGGGCATTGTCAGTTTCACTATAGCTCTGGTGAATTTCAATCTTCAATAATTGTTGTTGATTGCAGATGTGTCTAGTAGTTCCCATTGATTTAGCTTGTAAAGCGGGGAGAATGGCGCTAAGCTTACCGCACCGTGACGTCACTGCTGGAAGATGGCAGGAGGGAGGGGCTACTATATTTGGGCAAAAAGGCCGTTCACAGACTTTTTATTTACATTTTTTTATTGATTAACGCTAAATCAATTAAATTATTGCAAACGTATTAGTTTTAGGTATAAATAATGATCCACTGATTATTCCTTGCTGACTGGACTTCTCCTTTAAAAGGTCCTCATTTGTCCTAAGTGGTTGCTTGAACAAAGGTTTTTTCTAATGCAAACATTACGGTAATGAGGATAAAAACACATAGTAAACAATAAAAAAAGTAAAACATTTTAAACTATGACAGCAGAAGCATGATGACAGTAATTAGTAAATTGTTTAAACTGGATATTTCTGTCATGAATGATGCCTCTATGTAGGCAGTCTGCTCCGTTCATTAAGCCCCTCATCTGCGGGGGCTTAA